AGCTTCATTTTGTTCTTCTTTCTTGTCACTTATCTGAATTAGTCTAATAGTCCTTCACCTCCAGGTCTGATCTCCCTTCTAGTCCATCCTCCACATTGTAGCCAAGTCATCTGTTCTTTTTTTTTTTTAAGCAGTCTGTTCATGATACACTCCTGTTCAGTAATATATTCAATGATTCTTTATGACCTGTAGGGTAGAGTCTCTACAGCCTGCACTCTGACCAACTTACTAGCTCTTTTATCACATAGCCCTCTTAAGCTACAACATACTTGGAGGCACCTTGACCTCCCTTAGGTAGAATTGGTCACTTATTTTTTCAGAGCATCTGTAGTGTTTTGTTCAGCATAATATGTTATGCTTTAGTCTTTTAGTTTCTTGTCTGTGGATTTTCCTTAAGACTATGGGCTCCCTGCTGGCAGGGACTCGGATATTCTTTATTTCCCACTTAACACAGTACCTGGCACATAGTGGACACTGTAAATTTTACTTGGTTGAATGTATGAACAAATGCAGAGTAGTTCCTAAGAAGGTTCTATGCTGGTAGCATTCATGATAACCTAGGAGATCAAATAGGTGTGTAATAGAAATTATGTGTCAAGTTTATTAAATTGGGAGACTAAAGAATTTTATATTCTCTGTCCCACTTTTCTAGTTACACTGTTCATCAAGAATTTACTGTCCTGCCTAGCACTAAGTTATATGTAATATAAAAGGATTTTTGGCTTTCCTATAAATTCTAAGGAAATGTCATTAGTAGTACCCAGTGCCAGTTGAATAGGTGACTTATTTTTGCTTTTAAAAAAGTGCCAAAACTAACTTTAATATTGGTATCATTTAAGTTAGGGTTTCCATTCCTTTCTATAAATATACTTTGTTAGAACTTCCCTGAAATATGAAAGCAACTTAGCATTCAAGTATTGCATGACTTATTTCAATCAATTGCTTGTAGATTGGAACCATTGTTGACAATCCAGCTGACTTCTATCATTCGCGAATTCCCAAAAAACAAAGGAAGAGAACTATTGTGGAAGAACTGCTGGCTGATTCTGAGTTCAGAAGGTAAAGAAATTCATGTTTCACTTCATATTATTGCATGCTTTCCTTTAGAATATACATAAACTTTAAAATTTCAGGTAACTTTTAAATGCTTTAGCAGTGTCTCAACAGGACTATTTACATTTGGATGGGATAATTCTTTATTAGGGGGAACTGTCCTGTGTAATGTAGAATGTTTAACAGCATCTCTGACCTCTACCCACTCTATGCTAGTAGCACCCCATCCCCAATTTGTGACAGAAATCACTACCAACATTTCCAGATGTCCTCTGTGGGGCATAAGCATTCCCAGTTTAGAACCACTGCTTTAGATGGAAGCTTGAAAATACTTGACTGCTAGAGGAAGGTGAGCCTGCAAAGGAGACTAGGAAAGAATAGCCAAGGGGCCATTAAGAAAACCAGGGTGTCACAGAAACCAAGGAAGGAGAATATAACGAGCAGATAGAAACTGGAGGTGGTGGTTAATAGGATTGAATGCTGTTGAGAGATCAAACTGGGTGATGGGCATTAAGGAGGGCACATGATGTAATGAGCACTGGGTGTTACATACAACTGATGAATCACTGGCCTCTGAAACTAATAATCTCTGAAACTAATAATACACTGTATGTTAATTGAAATTAAATAAAACTAAAAATTTTTAAAAGATTTATTTATTTATTCATGACAGACACAGGCAGAGGGAGAAGCAGGCTCCCTATGGGGAGTCCGATGTGGGACTCGATCTCAGATCCCAGGATCATGACCTGAGCCGAAGGCAGGCGCCCAACCGCTAAGCCGCTCAGGCATCCCAATAAAATTAAATTTTTATAAAAACCTAAAAACTTATTTGGATTTACATGGAGATCATAGCATTCTTGCCAGCAGTTTTAGAGGAGTGTTGGGGAGGAAACCAGACTGGAGAGGATTGGAGAGTGAGTTGAAAATGAACAATTGGAGACAATTCTTTGAAGTTTGGAAAGGGGGGGCGGGGGGAGAGGCAAGGCTAGTAGTATGGAAGAGAAGGATTTTTTTTAAGATGGGGGCATTTAAACAGCTATGTATATATTATAGGAGATTTAAAAGCATACCTCATATTAGAAACCCTTGTTGATCTTCAGATGGTTTAATAGCCAAAGTAAAAATCAAGGGTTTTAAAAACTTTGTCAGCATGGAAAACAAATTTAACACAAGTGTTACGTAAGTTACCTAGTTCGTCTGGGTAATGGTAAACATTTTAGAAATAAGCAGTGTTCTTTGCTTGCTTATTACTCTCTTGGAAGTTTATTACTTGTTACTTGGAATTATGCATTACTTGGAAATCTCATCCCCCACAAGCTTTAATTATAACCTGTATACTGTTGGCTTCCAAATGTAGTGTGTCTAGTCCAGATCTTTCCTGAGTCCAGACCCAAATATCCAGCTGCTGTCCCAGGTTTTCTCACAAGCACCTCTAACAGCTCACTTGGTCTTTTCTGACCCCAGTCTTCCAGTACAATCTAATCCTCTCGCAGTGTCCTTTTTCTCATGACTGAACACTATCACTATCCACCCATTAGCAAGTCCTTGACACCTCCTCCTTCAGTCACACATTCATACTGTCAGTCTCTCTCATCTTCCTATCTCTCAAGCCTGTTGTTTTTCCATCCCCACACAGGCATGGTACAAGCTGACTCTTTGTTTATTAACTGTATATTTTGGTTAAAAATTGACCTGTATTTTGTAATCTTAATGATAGCAATCTTAGAAGTCACAGCAGTGTTGATGGGGCTTTCACTAAAAAATAATAGCCTGAGGAAGTTGGGGGAGTAAATTAGAAATTTGGTAGAATGAAACTCTACCAAATGAAATTGCAGGTTAGAGGTAGTGTTATTAGCTCATTGTTCCCATACTTCGGTCACTGAGTACCATTTTCACAATGTTTGTATTATTTCCGTGCTGCCTACTTTAAAAGGAAACTTTATATTGCCTACTATAAATGGGTTTGTTGGCTTATGATTTTTGTAATATGCAAAATAAATACTTTTAAAGTAATTGCGGATAGGTATGTAGTTATTGCCATTTTAATTGTCTTCTGGTTGTTTTTATAGTTTTCTCAGTTCTCTACCCTTGTGGTTTGATGGCTTTCTTTAGTATTATCTTTAGATTCCTCTCTATTTTGTGTATCTGTTATGTTTTTTTGATTGGTGGTCAGTATTGGATTCATATGTAACATCTCATGTGTACAGCAGTCTGTTAATTTGATGTCACTTAAGTTTGAACACATTTGACTTGGTTTTGTTTCATTTTTAATGTAATCTTAGGTTTGTTAGAATGTGTGTAAATTGTGCTACTGACTTCTTGTGGGATTCAGTAGGCTGTAGAGTTGTAAAAGGCTTAAGAAGCTTCTGTTTTATTTATTTTTTAAATTTTATTTATTCATGAGAGAGAGAGGGGCAGAGACATGGGCAGAGGGGGAGAAGCAGGCTCCATGCATAGAGCCCAATATAGGACTCCATCCCAGGACTCGGGGAACACGCCCTGAGCCAAAGGCAGACGCTCAACTGCTGAGCCACCCAGGTGTCCCAAGTAGCTTCTGTTTTATTTTTTTTTTTAATTTTTTAATTTATTTATGATAGTCACACACAGAGAGAGAGGCAGAGACACAGGCAGAGGGAGAAGCAGGCTCCATGCACCGGGAGCCCGACGTGGGATTCGATCCCGGGTCTCCAGGATCGTGCCCTGGGACAAAGGCAGGTGCCAAACCGCTGCGCCACCCAGGGATCCCAGCTTCTGTTTTAAAGAGAATATTAGCTAATCCCTCGGCTTTAGTAATAACAGATTTAGGTAACACCATGAAAGTGGTCTAGAACAGTTTTATATGGTTAAAGAATTTTAATTTTTCCTAATCAGTTGTACTGATAAGCCCTTCTTTTGAGCTTCTGTGGACTACATTTGTCAATATTTACCCTAATGGAAATTAAAATTAAGAAACTTTAAAAATATTCCTTTTAAAATAAAATCATATCACATATCACACTGACATATATTTTGATGACCAAAACAAAAATGATTTGGTGCAGGTCTCTTTAATATCCAGATAGTTGGAGCCTCATACCTATTTCTACATCAGTCTGCTGTTTTTACATTTTCATTCTACAAAAATGTTGAAAGCATTTAACATCATCTGTTAACTGGAAATGGTTCATGGACTTCCAGTGGCTGAAAGTTTTCAAAAGCCCTCCCTTATGGTTGTCACTTTTTTCTCATTAGACTTTATGAAGGCTTTATGCAGGCTTTATGAAGATAGGGACTATGGTTTTGTCTTGTTCACTGCTCAGTCCCTCAGCTCCAAGTATGGTTCCACATGGTGGAACTTAGTACAAATATGATAAAATAGTGAAAATGCAAAAAAGTTTTTGAGATTTAGAAGTTACACCACCCCACCACAACACCCATTACATAACTTCTAAGGTCATACTTTAGAACTTAAAGGTTTGTTTTTCTTTTTAGGTACAACCGAAGGAAGTATGCGGAGATCATGGCTGAAAAAGCAGCAAATGCAGCAGGAAAGAAGTTTCGAAAGAAGAAAAAATTTCGCAATTAAGATTCACCGAGCAAGCCATACTAAATATTTTACATCTCCCTTTATTTACTCAAGATGTTTTGTAAATTAACATCATCACACTAATATAGACTGGACTGGCCCTGTTTGAAAAAAGTTGACTAGAGGGAGAATTAGTCACATATCCCTCGAGATAAAAACAGGTGTGTCTACAGAAGACCCACACATGCCTATTAGACCCTTTGAGGAAGAAAAAGAAAACTTTGACCATTTTAAGATGATTAACATTTTTGTAAAGTTTTCAACACTTGGTTATTTAAAGAAAATTGAGTTTAAAAACATTTAGAAAATATAAAGTTTGTTAACGTATACAGAAAACTTGAAAATTACATAATCAAAGCTGAATAATACTGTAACTCACCTGTGTGTGCAGGGAGATGGTAGACCAGAAATGCCCTTTTCTAAGTTCAGGTCCAGAAAATTGGTGAAGATGGGATATAGAGATCTGCTTGATACAAGTATAAAAGTCATGGTTGAAACCAAAGTATTCTTGGAGCAAATATATATTGGTATATAATGGAAGAACTAAAGTTATGAAAGTTATAACTTGATTGAAATTATAAAGAAAGACTTAAAAAGTTAAGACTTCCAAGAAAGTTTGGGGTAAAGGTACACAAAGCAGAACTGTTTTCTCTCCTTAGCAATTAAAACAGGAGGAAAGATTAATTATATCCCAATTGTGTTGTATTCCAGGTGAATTAGGTTAAATCAGCATAATTTTAACTCGGCCAGGAATAATTTTAAAGTGATTCAGTTTATTTCATCTCCAGTGGCAGAAGTACTCATCCTGGCTAACCTGCTTGTGGCACCCAAAGAGTGTTGGCCATTTCTCATAATGCTTCTTAAAGGGTTCTTCCTTAAATGTCATTATTTATGGAACTTCTGTTTTCCCAGCAAACTGCTTCCTTGGGATTTCAGTAAATATAAAATCTCCTATTTTCTATTTATTGCTTGGGATCATAACCAACATGGTAATAGTAACAATGACATTTGTAGGTGGAGTCAGGCAAGTATCAGTAACTATTCTTTTACAGAAAAACTTTTATTCCAAGAATATTAAGTTTTGCCTTCCACTGGGTAAAAAAAGGACCTGTTATGAAAGAATATCAAAATGAGAGGGTTTTAAAGAAAAGGGAGGGTTCGGTACAACCTTGAGTAACTGGGATAAATTGATGGGCTCCCACTCTTAGAAACAGTAAGTTACAAGAAAACATCAGATGACAAAAATGTTAATATCATTTCTGAGGTATGTCCAGGTATGTTTTCAGTTCAGTCTCTCCATCACTGACAACTGTTGTTCAGAGTGATAACCTAGAACATTTTATTGAAAGTTTTCAGTAAGGGTTAAAATAAAAGAATGCTTTCTGTTCCCCAAGCATCTAATTAAAATGTAAAATGCAAGTCTTCTCTTACACAAGTTAAAAGAAGAAGTGAATTACAAACAGCTTCCAAGAAGCAGGGTTAAATAGCATGACCTATAATTAAATGTCATAGCTGATCACTTTTATCAAAGAAGTGAAACCTCAAAATGAACTTGAGTAAATACGAAGTTAGAGAACAGTTGGAAAGAGGTCCTGAAATGGAAAAAGTTCTCAGCAAATACTTAACATTAGGAAGGCAATGGGTGGTGGATAGTGTATGTTCCATGTAACAGTGCATAACCGATTATCCCCCAAAACTCTGACTCAGAACCACCACCGAGTTATAATATATCCTCATTTGGTGGGTCAGGGCTTGGCTGAGTAATGTGCTCTACATGAATCAAATGAGGTCACTGACTCACCTAGTAGCTGAGTAGATTTGGAAGGTTTAAGACCCTTCCCCAACATGCTTATTAGCACCTTTGTATTGTTCTCTTCTAAAAATATGGGGACATGTGAAATTTTTCTTCAGGATAGCACAGAATTGCTATAAAACCAAAAGATAACCCAGACACTTTGTGTGGCACTGAAGGCTCTATCTAGCCTGGTTAAATGGGCTGAATGCAGAGCTACTTAGAAAATTGTACTCTACCTGCCTCCTTGCTTGTCCTGAGGTAAAAGGAGTCACTAACTAGATTGAAGTGAGCCCAGGATACCGGGCTGTATTGTTACAAGCGAAGAGAGATGCTGTAATAGGTCAGAAATCAGCCGCAGTCAGTCTTCTGTTAGGGTGGGCCTGTCATGTGCTCTGCCAAAGAAGGTGGGAAACGACTTGGGGCTTTCCTAAGCCAACCTTTCTCTACTAAAGGTAGGATGATGGGAACAAAGGTTCCTTCGCAGCTTATCTGAAAAGCCCTACAGTCGGGGTCTCTGCCAGCTATATACTGAGCGGTGCTTTCCTTCCTCTGGCTCTTTGGTTACAACCAGAGCTGCAAAGGACGGACTGGTAAGTTGAGCACCAAATCCTGACCTCACACCTCATGTAACATACTGAAATTCTGAGGTCTTGTTCATTAAGGGGAGAAAAAAATGAAACATGGATATGAAGACTGGTTAGATTTAGTTCCAATATCAAGTCTCAAATTTCAGTGTCCATTCCAGTTACCCTCCTTTCCACTCCACTTCAGCCAATCACTATAATGGCTTTAGGCTTGTTCAAAGGTCAAGATTCTGAACTAAGTATCCCAATCTGTTAGCCTTCTAATCCAACTTTGGCTGCACTTTGGAATTACCTGAGGTGGCTTCAATAATATGGACACCTGGGCCCCACCCCCAAAGATGGTGAACTCTGGATCTCAAGCATTTCAGCCATTCTTATACTCCCAATCCTCTACCCCATCAGGATACATTTTTCTCCCTAACCTGGAACAATGGTCAGACATTTAAAAATTCTTTGTGTGTCCCATGTCTATCCTCAATTTTTTTCTGTTACTGTCACCTGCCAGGCCCAGCCAGGGAAATATCCACTGTTATCTGTCTAGATTACTGAGATTTGGAAAACTACCATAAGCTACAGACTCTTGGCTGGGCTTTCACTGCTCCTCTACAGTTCCTTTATTTATTTTTTTTATTATTTATTTATTTATTTATTTATGATAGTCACAGAGAGAAAGAGAGAGAGGCAGAGACACAGGCAGAGGGAGAAGCAGGCTCCATGCACCGGGAGCCCGATGTGGGATTCGATCCCGGGTCTCCAGGATCGCGCCCTGGGCCAAAGGCAGGCGCCAAACCGCTGCGCCACCCAGGGATCCCCCAGTTCCTTTATTTAATTATGACTACTTCCCACCAAATTCATTCAGTCTGCAAGTCAGCCAGTCACCACAAAATTGAGTTCTATAGATTATTTAACCACCAGGGTACACCAGTGAAGAAAACAGCCTCCAAACCCAAAGAGCTTATAGGAGACCCAGCATATTTCTACTCTCCCAGAGGCCCCCAACTCCCACTCCCCGCCCCCCCCCCCAGCAGACATCTTGTCTCCAACTTTGCTTACCCAGCCTAGAACATCTAAGGCCATCTAACTCCTCATGACCCCACCTGTCTACAGAAACTTCCTACATGTATCCCAAGTGTTCAGTGTCCCCCCCCCACCCCAACCTTTTGGCCAAGAAATGTCATCTGACACAGGTCTCTGACCATGAAACTTCAGCTTCTCAATCTGTAAGAATATAAGCTTGTCTGCTTCTATCTTGCTGCTATTTTTCCTTCACAGATTTTCTTTATCTGCCTACCACCTGGATTCCCACATTGCCTGCTCTCTTACCTTTCTCTATACTGTAGAACTTGCTATCTTGGCCTCTGTCTCCTTCAGCTTCTGCTTTACCTCTCTACAGTGGACTCCAGAGTTTCCCTCCTTACATCTCTACACCCCCTGCTCCAGATGCAAGTTTCCAAATAATTAATATGCCCTTCCAGGTATCACAAAGTCATCTCAACCTCATACCCAGAATCTGAGATGACTACCTAACTAGCACCGTGCTGGCACATGACAGGTACTCAGAGGGAAGCTACTCTTTCCCTGTTCTCCATCCTCCCCATTAGGGAAGGCTTCCTAAAACAGTTTTTAATGGAGACTTCCTGTTTTTTGTTTTTTTAAAAAACCTGTTACCCACTTCTGCCTGACAAAACATGCAGAAATGCCTACATTCAAAATTTGGCATTCAGGACCCTCTAAGATAGGAAATAATGCCACCACAGGTTTATATTCCCTATTGTTCGTACCCCTACTTCACTTGTGCTGGTCATTTGCCTGTTTCTCTACTCTGGATTGCAAAAAAACTACACTTCCCAGATTCAACTGGCTTCCCAGTAAGGCACTGACCTAGGACAGGAGGGCCAGAGGAGGAGAGAGAGGGTATTTCCCTCTGCTTTAGACTGGGTTGGGAAATCCAATGGTTCCGCCATTTCCCAGTCCCTACCACGTAGCCCTCCACCACTGGATGGCCCAGGCTTCCGAGTTCTGGTAACACCATCTCCTAATGTCCCTTTGGCGCTAGGGGTGAGAGGTTTCCTACTTTTCCAGTCTCTGGGCTGCCTACACTTAAAACGTCCATCACCTGCGTAACAGCTCCCTATATTAAATTCTTTAGAGTGATGCATGTTTTTGCCTGGACCCAACGCTACATTTCAGCCAAACAAAACTATTGATAACAGATTGTTCAGCCAGTGAACATATATTGAATACTAGGTATTCCAGCGACTGCCAGATACGGTGAGTTTTCACCTTTTATGTCTTTGTTCATACGATTAACTGCACCTAAAATTGTCCTTGCTTCTCTTCCACCTAACAAAACACTGCTACCTTTCAAACTTGTAAGAAGCCAGCATCTTGAGCATCTACTCTGTGGAGGGTGTGTGCCCAGGGAAGGAATGAGGTCATCTCTAGGCATCACAGAACAGTCTACAGTTCATACAATGTTTTATCAGATTTTCTCTACTGACGTGTATATTCTTGAAATTCCCATTTGACTGCTTTAAAAAAATATTTGTATTTAACAAACACTAACTGCCAGGCACTGTTCTAAGGACTTACAAATACAGCTGGTTTTTATGTAACCATTTATGTAGGTATGTACATATGAAACATTATATACATATATAACAATTTAGGTAACCTTAAGTAAACCTATGAAATAGGTGCTACTATTACCCTCATTTTATAACTGAAGAAACGGAGGCACAGAGAGGTTAAGTAATCTGCCTAAGGTCAGAGCTCGTAAGTATAACTCTGTCACACTTACTTTAACCTGCACTATAGCTATCTGTATACCTGTTTCCACATCACCAACAAAAACTGAACTTTTTTCCTTTCTTCACCAGTTACAGAACACGTGATTTTTTACCTGAGATTGTGGCTATCTGGGAGGGGAATAAAAAGCTATGATTTTTCACCTCTTCATGGGACATAAGTAAAAGCAGTAGGCGCAACTTCTGGGAAGCAGTCTTCTCCTTCAGAGAAGAGTGACCTTGAAGTGAGGCTCTGTCCCTTTATCTTCTCCCCACTAACTAGTAATATTGATCTGATGGCAAGGAAGGAGCAATCTTCTTGGAACATCAGGAAAAAGCTACATTTTAAGGTGAAAGAATGAGAAGGAGCCTGGATCTCTCATGATCAAGTAGTTGCCAGTGCTTGAACTTTTCACGTGAGGAAGAAACCTCCATCTCTCCAAACCCATTGTTACTTTGAGTCTCCTGCCACTCACGCCAAAGCCCATCCTAATTAATGGGATTATCCATCCCTGGCTCCCTGCCCCACACTAGAGTGAACTCTAAGAAAATGCACTCTATCTCACTCACCTTTGTATTTGTTTCCAATGTGGTTCTTTGAATAAAGCTCGTACTCAAAAATACATGTCAAATTGAAGATGAATGAGCTTATAAAATATTTTTTAAGCGCTGATGGATGTAGAAGACCCCAGATCAGGAGGAAGCTGGAATGAAACCACTTCCAGGCCTCTGGTCTTTAGAGTCTGTATGGACCACAGGCAGTGATAAGATAGGAGTGTCTCCACTCCTTGGGGAAACTCCCAAGGTCAATACCCGCCTGGAATCCTGGGTATGTGAGGCAGAGCTGTAAAAGAGCACAAAGAAAATAGGTTTTCAAAATAAACACCTTTAATTTTCCCTTCACTTTCATGCTTTTATCCCTGTTCTCTTCCTACCTGCCTCAGAAGAGCAGACATTTGCTCATCATTCCTAGGCTAGTCTTTTCACTTTACTCCCATACCATCTTTGCATCTTAATTTTCTCATCTGTGAAATGGAGATAATTATTACTAATTAGGATCTGGAGAATAATTAAATGACAAGAGCTACATAAACTTGCTGGCATCTAGAAAAATATGAGATCTTTTCCTTTTCCTCTCAACTCCCTTCTCTAGAGGCAACCTGTTCCATCAGTTCTTGGAGAGAATACTTTCTCCTAGTTTTCTTCCCACCTCTCCAGCTGCCCTTTCTTGGACTCTTTGAAAAACTCCTTCTTTGCCTATCCTTCAAATGTCTGTGCCTTGGGTTTCTCCCCATACCACCTTCCTAGTTCCAGCCTCATTTTCTTACCCAGACAACTCCAAGTGCCCTGGTCTTTCCAGCTTCCTATCCTGCACTCTTCCAGCCAGGCATCCACACTACAGAGTGGAGATAGAAACCACACATCTAATCACACTGCTTCCCACCTAAAACTGATTCAGTGGTTTCCCACTGCCATTAGGGTAAAACCCTAGAGACATGTACAAGGCTTTCAGGACACCATACCTGCTGGAATCACTACAGAGAGACATTTTGTTTTAGTGTTTCCACTCCTAACAGGGGGAGCTCCTAAAAGGTACACTTATGGCTGAGAGCCAGCATACTGTAAAATGTAAGGAGTCAATAAATGTTGAATGCAATTCAGAAAATCTTCAATGGATAAGCAGTATCAGAGCTGCCCATTTGAAAGTGATCTAGGAATAGACAAAAATTTTTTTTCTTTCATCATTAGTATTAGGTTTTGTTTTCCGTTTTATTTTTTTAACTTGACTTTTTTATTACAAGGATAAGACTGGCTTATTTTGAAAAAATTCAAACATTATAATGAGATATAAGTTTAAAAAGAAGACCTTCCATCACTGCTCCTCCTGCTCCAGCACTGTTAACTATATATGCTTACAGAAAGTTTCTATGCACGTGCGATCATAGTAATACACACGTTATTAGTATCATTATTAGCATTATTTAACACAAGTAGAATCATGTTAAACATGCTCATTCTCATATTAGCTTTTTTCATATAGTCTTGGATATTTTTCCATAGCAGTATATATACATCTTCATTTTTTTAAAGATGTATTTATTCATGAGAGTCCTCATTTTTTAAAGGTCTGCATTGTATTCAATTATAAGGCTCTATTATACTTTCTTCAAACATTCATTATTTTTTTAATTGAGTATAGTTGGTATATATTATTTTCAAGTGTACAACACAGTGATTGACAATTCTATACATTACACAATATTCACCATAAGTTACCATCTGTTCTAGTTTGGGGCCATTTTAAATAATGCTGCATTTATGGTAGATAAATGTCAATTTTTCTAAATACACAAAATATGCAAAATATTAGAATACTAAAATAAATATACATCACAACCAAGTAGATTCATTTCAGGAATTCAAGAAGGGTTGATTATTAGAAAATCTGTTAATACACTGCACAATATCTGTTAATATTGTGAAACCTATGAAACCTCCATAGGTTACTGACAAGTAGGGATAGTTTCTTAATGTGATAAAGTGTGTGTGGGTGTATGAATGAATGCATGTGCACCAATCCCAAAAGCTAGCATCATGCTTAATGGAGAAGCATTCCTATAATGGTCAGAAGCAGCACAATTCAGTCCACTGACACCATTATCCAAAAATTAACATTTTCTGGAGATACTATCAAATGCTATTACAAGAGATATAATAATGAGGCCTAAGAATTAGAAAAAAAGATAATAATATAATTACTTGTGGGTAGGTGATATGTTTCCAGAAAATACAACATAGTTAACTGAAAAAACTACTTTTCCTTTTAAAAATTGAGATAAAATTCACATACCAGAAAATTTATCTCTTTAAAAGTGTGCAGTATACTGGGTTTTTGGATATGCAGAGTTGTGCAGTTACCACTACTCATTCCAGAACATTTCCATCACTCCCCAAAAATCTCATCATATACCCATTAGCAGTCATTTCACATTCCCCTTAGCCCCAGCATGTGGCAACAACTAATTTACTTTATGTCTCAATAGATTTGCCTATTTAGGATATTTTATATAAATGGAATCATACAGTATGTGGTCTTTTATGACTGGCTTCTTTTACTTGACATGATGTTTCCAAGGTTTATCCATGTTGCAACCTGAATCAGTATTTCATTCATTTTTATTGCTGAATAATAATATTCCATTGGATAGATACACCACATTTTGTTTATCCACTCATCAGCTGATGGACATATGGGTTGTTTATTAAGAATAATGCTACTAAAAAAAAAGAATGCTACTACTTCTTGTTTATTAAGAATAATGCTACTATGAACAACAATGTACAATTTTTTGTCTTAACATATGTTTTCACTTCTCTTGGGTATATACCATACCTAGGAGTGAAATTGCTGGGTTATATAGTAACTCTGTATAAATTTTTGACTAATTGCTAAACTGTTTTCCAAAGAGACTGTACCATTTTACATCCCCACTGGCAACTATGAGGGTTCTAACTTCTCCACATCCTTGCCAACACTTGTTATTGTCTATCTTTATTCCAGCCATCTTTGTGGATGTGAAGTGGTATCCCACTGTTTGGAGCTGCAAAATCATTTTAAATAGTAAAATAATTAAATTAAGATGGCTGGATATAAATTTATTATATATATCAAAAGCCTTCTTATATACAAACCATAATCATTTATAAAATATAATGGAAGAAAAAAATCCCAACAAAAAAGATAAACTATCAAAAAAGATAAACTATCTAAAGTTAACTAATAAGATATATGTGTCTGTGTGTGTATTTAACATACTTTTTAAGGGCATAGAAGGACTGAATAAATGGGAAAGCATGTGTGTTATCTGCCCGCCCCTGCTGCTCTTAATAGAAAGATGCAACATAGTTCAATTCTCTCTATATTAACCTATAAAAAACATGAATCCAACATAAACATCTCCTAAGATTAGAACTTGACTAGCTGTAACTAAGGCCCGTGTGAAAAAACAATGGAGAATTATAGTTTTACCCAAAGACCCAGCCAATCTGGCATGCTCCTTATTAGCTGCATCTTCCTGTACAAGTTACCTAACCTCTTTGTCTCAGATGCTCCTTTCGTAAAGGGGGATAGGATAATACCTACCTGGTAGGGTTGTCAGGAGGATTAAATGCCTTAAAAATATATAAAGCACTTAGAACGTTACCTGGTATATAACAAATGCTAAATTAATGCTAGTTGTTATGTGGGAAAAAAACAATTCAAGAATAGATGAGAGGAAAAAAATCTTCAAAGAAAGTTATGAGAAAGGACTGGCGCCCCTAGATATAGACACACTGTTCTGGTGAATCAGAATTCAGACAGATCAACGGAACAGAATAGAAATGCTCCAGAAACCCAAATGCAAATGGAAATTTAGAAAATGGTAAAAGTGGCATTTCAAATAAATGAGTACAGAGAAGAAATGTGTTCATTACGAGTAATTCTGGGACCAAATTCCCACTTCACCCCTTATACAAAAGTATATTCTGGATGAAATGAAGATTTAAGTACAAAAATAAAACCATATAAAACACTAAAATAAAACATGATGAAATTATTTAATAATGAGTGCTAATAACCCCAAACCTAGAAGCCATAAAAAGTTTGATAAATCCAAATATATGAATTTCTGTAAGGCAATAAAATAAAATATCACATACGAAATCAAAAGGCAAATACACTGAGGAAGAACAATTCTAACACATATCATAAAGCATTGGTTTCCATAATACGTAAAAAAAAAAAACAACAAAACTCCAACAAACCAGTAAGAAAATGACCAATTATGCAATAGAAAACTGAAAACCGAAGAATAGATATGTCATAAAAAAGAAATACAGATTAGTCCTCATATAAAAAAAATGCTCAGCTTTCTTTCATAATAAAAGGCATGAATTGACACTGCAGCCACCATTTTTCACCTATTTGGTAAGTCACGCGCCCTGAGGACATGGGCACTCTTGCACAGCTCTGGTCAATCAGGTGTAATCTCTGTGAGAGCAGTGTGGCAAGATCTATAAAAAACGCACAAACTACCCTTTGACCCAGCAATCCAACTTCCTAGAATCCATCCCACGGGTACACTCGCACTTGTGTACAACAGTGTAAGAACAAACATGATCACCGAAGCATCGTAACAGGAAAATAGTTTATGCCTCAATGAGCCAACTACTGGGGGCTGCTGAATCATTAATGTGCAGATTCACAATGGAACAAGGCAGCTCCACCTGTGTTAGGAGGTCAAAAAGCATAGCCTACGACCAATCGTGTGTCACCTCTACCAACCTCCACCAACATGGAGACAATATTATGCAAAAGTGACATGTAAAAAAAAAAAAGTGACATGTGCCTAAAATAAATCTGAAAATATTTCCAAGCAACCATCTTCACGAATAGCTTTTAAGAGAGAATTGCAAGGCTAAGTCAGATACAGGGACAACAGCGATGTTTACTTTTCTCTGTACCTTTTTTTTTTTTTTTTTTTTTTTGCCAATTCTGGATTCTGCATTCTTTGGCAGAGAGGGCGTTACACTGAATCCTGAAAATCCCATTCACTCGTGCCTTCACTGATTCGCATTTAGAGAGGTGGGACCCTAATCCCGCGCAAACCTGGGAGTCGTCAGATGACGGTGCTTGCCTGGAAGAGCTGACGGGCAGGTGGACCTCGGACCTCAACGCACTGCAATCCTGCGCGAGAACAGCGTGCATTTTAATTTTTAAAAAATGCAGATTCCTGGGCTCCCTCCCCTTAGGACTGAATTCGAGTGCAGGACCCCACTCGGGGGGCAGGACCCCGGTAGTGAGGACTCTGAAGCCCGCAGGGCTGCAGGGTCGGTCCGCGGAGCGCGGCGCAGGGCCAGGCGCAGCCAAGGCCCCTCACCCTTCCCGCGGCCTCCCCGGAGTCACGGTCGCGCTCCGGGCCACGAGGCGTTAGCCGGGAGCGCGGGGGCCGCCGCTGGGCCCGAACCGCGAGGCCTGGCCGGGCCCGGACCCCGAGCCACGGAGCCGAGGGAGCGGGGCTGGGAGCCGGCCGGCTGGGCAGCGGCCGCCGACGCCGCGGGCAGGAGGAGAGGCCAGCTCAACCGTCTGGGGGAAAAAAAAGAGGGAGTAGGGAAATGATGGCGTCAGAAAATAAATTTTGGGGGAGGGAAAAAACTGCGACTCCGCCGGGACTCGAACCCGGAACCTTTGAATGTCCTCAGCCTCTAGAAGTCCAATGCGCTATCCATTGCGCCACGGAGCCACCTGTTGGAGTCTCGGCGCATCTGCTGTGTTAAGCCAGAGGCGACGGCCCCGCGCCCTTCCCACCGCCCCCTCGGCCGTTCCCCGGGCCGCCCGTCCGCGCAGCCGAGGCCAGGGCGCCGCAGCCCGGGCCGCCGCCACCCAGTGCGAGCCGCAGGGGCCGTCCCTCGCCGCCGGCCCCGGCCCCCGCCGATCTGAGGGCGGCCACGGCCCGGCCCCCGGCCTGCCCGGGACAAACCACGCCCGCGCTCTCCGGCCCCGGCCCCTTCCTGCCCCGAGCGCCCCCGCCTACCGGCTCTCCCCGGCGGCCGGCCGCGCCCCGCCCGGACCCGGACCTGGACCCGGACTCGGATCCGGGCCCGG